TACGGGCCCCGTCCCCAAAATGGGCGGACACACTCGCGTGGTACCCACGTAAGAGACCGCAAAGTTTTTCACGAGTATGCTGCTAACTCGGGAATCAGAAATGCTTGGGGGCTGTAATTTTAAGAATATGTTCCCTGTCCAAGTAGGTACTAAACACCTCAAATCCAGCCCCCGGGTAAGCGTGGTACCCACGTATGGGCCCGTCAAAATTTTTTTCGGGTAAGTTCATAACTCGGGGATCTGAAAAGCTAGAAAACTGAAATCTTAAGGGGATATCCCCAGCCCAAGTAGGTATTAATGAGCTCAAACTCAGCCTTTGGATAGGTGTGGTACCCGCGTACGGGCCCGCCAAAGTTTTTTTTTGAGTAAGCTGATAACTCGGGAATTTAAAAAGCTAAAGAACTGTAATTTTAAGAAGGTATTCCCCACCTAAGTCTCATTGATCTCAAACCTAAGTTTCATTGATCTCAAAGTACCTAAGTCTCATTGGTCTCAAACCCAGCCTTTGGGAATCGTGGTACCCGCGTACGGGCTCGCCAAAATTTTTTCCAGGTAAGTTCATAACTTCGGGATCTGAGAAGCTAGAATGCTGAAGTCTTAGGGGGATTTTCCCTGTCCAAGTTGATAATAATGTGCTCAAATTCAGCCCTCGGGTATGCGTGATACCCATGCATAGGCCCGCCAAAGTTTTTTTTCGAGTAAGTTGACAACTCGGGAATTTGAAAAGCTAAAGGACTGTAATTTTAAGAGGGTATTCCCCGTTCACCTATGTCTCACTGTGCTCAAACCCAGACTTCGGGTACGTAGTACCCACGTACGGGCTCACCAAAGTTTTTCCCGAGTAAGTTGCTAACTCGAGAATCTGAAGAGCTAGAAGACTGTAGTTTTAAGAGGGCACATGTAGTCTGTGCACACTGCAGAAATAGCAAAGTGACCTTTAAGCCGAGTGCCGTCGCAACTTGGTCCTTAAGCCTGCGCGTAAAAATTTGGTGGGCTATCTGCATTTCGTTATATTTATTAATCCCACTGTCTTTGCAACATGGCGCGAAAATGACTATTTGAATTGATGTGGTGAAGTAGCCTGGGTTTTTATCATTGCGGATCCTAGGGTAGGGCAAGGGGCCTTTCGTCCTCCCGCCCCCGGTACTCAGGTAGCTACTGTTTTACTTAGAAAACTCTGTTCGATACCGCCTGCCCCTTCCCCGTCTCAGGAAACCACTCTGGACCCACCTATGATTTTTGTGCAGATTTCGGCCATCTTCTTTGAAGTTATCAGCGATGTTGCAGAGTCTTCACTAACAGGCACTCATTTAACGTGCTGTATCTGGCTGGAGCTTGTGGTGCGGGGCCAAGGTCAAAACAGATGTGATACCTTCAGGTTACAAACGCACCATCCCCAAACACAACCATTTACTCACTGAGTGAGGTTAAGTCTATCATTTTTACGGTTCTTAATGGGGTTTATGTTCGCTTTGGAGGTGCTATCTTCCATCAAACTCGAGGGGTGTCTATGAGTGGGAATACCAGTCCTGACATTGCCAATTTAACTCTTTCTACAATGGATTACCGTTATTTAAAGACGCACAACAACATTAACTTAAGGCTCTCCCGATACATCGACGATATCTTGGTTGTTAACAATTCCGACTTCTCTGCCATGGCCCGGCACATATATGGTGCTACGCTGAAACTTAACAGCACCTATTATGGGCATAGAGCTTGTTTTCTTGATTTGGAATCTCTTGCCATAATACAGGTTGTGTCTTTGATGTTTATAATAAGACACTTCTCCTTTTCGGTTAACTTCTATAATGCTTCGGATAGTGATGTTGATCGAACCCTGCATGAAGGTATTCTCATTTCTCAAATGCTACGATATTCTCGCATCTGCACCTCCTTAGAACGATTTGTTTGATGGTCCAGACGATTACTTACCGGCTACTTCGAAAGGGAATACGACGCACGCAAATTAAATCACTGCGTCCGTAAATTTGTTAGTAGGTATATTGGCACTCTTACTAAATATTTGTACTGTAATGATCATGGAATTAACGTAATTTGCGATATGATGCTTCCCGACGCTAATTCGGTATAACATCCTGTTATTTCCCGCCTACGTAATCATTTCTAATATGACAACGCAAGGGGAACCAATGTCCAAGCGAAGCAAATCTGAGAATTTCGTGCTTCATGCTAGTTTAAGACTTTCTTTTTCCATTTCCTTTTTGCATGTTTTTTTATTCTAATTCTTTTCTCTATCACGCTATTTTCTCTGTAACATGCTAAGGGGCTGTACTGATGATTCTCACCCCTAACCACGCTTCCTGCTATCTATGTTTACAGCCTAGGGATGAAACACAAGCAAGCTTTTTTTACATACAGCTTTTTACATGACTTTTTCACATGCCACTCTGGTTTTGTAAATATGCGTCACAACAGTCTCTACCTTTTATTTTCCTTCCTTCAGTACCTCACTGGATTCTGGACGGCCACCGTCCTACCCCTGGTTATTCTTATTGCATGGATGGTTGGTGCGATCCGCTACCCTTTGCTGAATGGGCCGCTGTTCTTGGCCCTAGTTACCACTCTCTTCCATTCCCTCATAGGGCCTTTGAGGCTCGTACTGCCTTTTACTTCATTGATTTGGAAAATACATTAGCAGAAACCAATAATACTTCAATTTGCGTTTAAATCACTGATCCTAAAAAAGGGCGAGTGGTGCAAGCACTCTTGCCAGCATCGTTGGGGGCTGAATTTGAAATCTTTAAGTCGAACTTAAACAGGGAACAGTCCCCCTAAAATTTCAGCCTTCTGCTTTACTGGTTTTCGAGCTAGTAATTTTCTTGCCACAATTTCACATGCCCGTACGTAAGTACGATGCGCATCTGAGGTCTGAATTTGAAGTCTTTAAGTTGTACGTGGACGAGGGACATACCTCAAAATTTCAGCTTTCAAGCTTTTCTGGTTGCCAAATTAGCAATTTTTCCGTCAAAGCTTTCACGTGCACATAGGGGTTGAGTTTAAAGTCCCTTCTGCACCTAGGGATATCAGCCCGTAGGTGTACGTAATTCCCATTTTTTCGCCTTTAGCTCACACATGCAGAGAAAATATCCTTGTAAGTATTCAGCTCCTTATTTTGTCTGCTTCCCTAAATCGCTTTTCCACCAAAAAATTCGCATATTTTTTAAGTCGTCCGTATGTGGTATCTGAGCGTACGTGAATGATAATATTAAAACGAAGGGTCGCATCGGTGGTGGACACATACTCGTAAAGTTTCAGCTTTCTAGCTCTTTTGATTTCGAGTTGAAATTGGGTGACAAAGAGAGCGAACACACAGACACATAGACAGACAGACAACCTCTTGCCGATGTGCATTTTTGTATCTGCATATACGCAAAAACGCATAAAAAGGAATACGTCTATGCGTGTTTTTTTATTGTGCAAACAAATCCAAAATTACATTGACTATCAGAATTAAAAAATACCAGGTTTCACCGAAAAGGTCATAAAGTTCCAGGATTTGTTGGTAAAAAATCGAAAGTATCAAAATTTTTTCAAA